TTTAAACCACAGATTCATAAAGGACCCTTAGGCTGCCTGTCTGGCGTTGGCTTGAGCCATCCACTCTGGCTCACAGACTGCCAGGGCGGGATGGGGAACCTGGCTACAAGACCCTTCATCCCAAAGCAGGCAATGCGTGCCCTGGCCTCTTTTCTTCTTGGAGGTTCCTACTTAATAGGCTAGTAGTGCACGCCATAGTGGCAGAAGCAACCGTTTTTGAAGCTAAAGATTTGCGTTTTGAAGCTATAGTTCCCGCACAACAGCTTATTATCAAGGTAATTTCGATCCAATTCTTAACAGTTTCGGGACAAATCGAGAACCCAAAATTTAGAAAGGCTCCAAGAAAACTCAATAATCAAGAAAACATTTTAATGAAATAATTTTAAAAACGAAGTTCATGCAAAAAAATCACAATGTGTAAGATACCTAAGTTTTAAATAACACCCACCAATAGCTGGGAGGTTGGTAGTAGGAAAGTTCTGATGGCCCTAGAAGAGGGCTGTGGGAGCACGGATGAAGGAGGAAAAGGAGGTTGGGGTGTAGAGTTTGGGGAAGAATGGATCTGGGTTCCCGTGCGTACGGGATCAGAAGAGAATTTTCTTCTTTCACACTTCTTGGCGCGTGTTTTGGACCCAATGCTAGCGCTCAGGTTCTTCCCTGCCCAGGAGGAGGCCAGGGGCACCGAGGGCTGGTTTTGTGGTCCAGAGCTCCTTGGGGATGAATGGAGATGAGAGTGGCCGCCCTAGGGAGGAGAGAAAAGGTCGCTGCTATGAGCAGGTTTTGAGATTTGGGTGTGGGAAGTGGGAAGTCCAGGAGGCCGCGAAGCGTCCAGCTGTGGGACCCTGCGGAGGCCTGGAGCCGGCACACGGTGCAGCCTGAGTGCGGAGTGGCTCGCGGCATGTAGACACATAGCCTAGCGTTGAAGACTACGGGCACCCACTGTTGCTGGTCTCCAGAAGCCTGAGGTCGGGCGGGTTAACGTCGCAGCACCGCTGTTTCCAGCCCTTTACTCTACTGCCTCAGGACACACGACATCCCTTTCCTCGTTGCCACCGCGAGCGTGAGATCCAGGGCGGGCCCAAGGCGCGCGCACCCACACATCACCAGAGACCGTCCGATGACAAACTCCAACCACACTCCTTGAGGAGTAGTCTTCTCTGCTTCAGTCATAAAAAAAGGAATTGGACAAGGACGTCTTGAGAGGTGCGGCCCAGGGGCCACAGGAATTGCCCGAGGCCTGAACATTCGGGCCATTTCTTGCGATCTGTGCTGGGATGTAGGCGCTTCTTTGGGACCACTGCTTCCAGAAAACAACCCAACGGAGGTGTGCGTAGGATCCTAGGTTAGGGCTGTACGGAGGAAAGGCTTTGACACACCCTCTAGCCGAGCTTTGAAATCCGAGCCCGCGCTGCGCGCTGCTTTTGGGCGCCTGGGGACGCGCCGCAGCGGTCCCCCAAAGGGCCTCGGTCACTTTCCGCACAGTGCTCTGGGCACCTTTCCTGTTTTGCAAATCGAACTTATGAATTCAAGGGCACCGAGACCCGTTACTGTTGCTTTTAAAGCGTCTACCGAAAAGAGCTAGAAGGAGAAATGTGGACGGGTTCTGAGGCCACCTTCTCTAGTAGCTGCCCGGGTACTAAGAAGCTGATCTCTGTTCTCCTTTCCTGAGGCCAACACCAGCAGCGAGGCGGAAGCCTCTATTTGGAACCTGGCCCGCCGCCCAGGCGCAACTCCGGACCGGGAGCCTGCGGACAGTTCTCCAGATCTACAGGACCGGTCCTTGAAGCTCCAACAGAAGGGTTAAGCATTCGTATTCGTTAAGCTAGAGACCCATTTCCCAAAAGGGAAAGAGATTTTTTTTTTCCTAGACAATTTTCGGGGACGGCTAAACTGAGTTCTGGAGGCTAGGAATGAAAATTTGAAACGGTGACTTGTATAATAGGAGACATCTTCCAGTCTTCCATATAACTAAATTCAGACATAAAAGAAAAATTTTACAATCCTAGGCTCTAAAGTTTACCAGGATATAAATAACAGCTCAGTACCATCATGCGGCTTCACTCTTCGGTGTACATTCCAAAATTGTCTACACAGCTCTACATGAGCACAAGAGAGATTGTTTTTGCAATTAAAAAAATGCAGTTCAAAAATTAATGTAATTAAAATTATGTGTTATTTTGTTTATACAGTAGTAAATGTTGCCGTTATTTATGTGTTAGATACTTTAGGTGCATTGTACATTATTTCAGTAATCTATAGAGCTATTTGCCAGGTAGAAATCATTAGCCCTATTTTAATGTAGTTAATGAAACTCAACTTTGAGAGGTTTAGATAACTTACAAAGTCTCAAAGCTGATGTTTGTTAAAGCAGTATTCAAAGACTTCTCCAATTCCAATGCAACTTTCAGAAATCCAAATCAGCCCCCAAGTCCACCATCAGCCTGGGAAGGGTTGGAGGGGTGTTAATATGACTGTTTTGTTTTAACCCCCGAGGTGGTTTTACCTATTAACCTGTGCCCAAAGTGGGATTTTGAAGGGACCTTAGAACACAATATGGTCTGCTTAGGGAGGGCTTTTAATCATGCTTTGACAGAACTTCTCTGCCAAGCTCTGGTGCCCCATTTTTATAGCACCATATTGATTCTCAAAGGCAATAAATCTAAGAGGAGGGGCAGTGTGCCCCCGATAATAATGCTACAGCATATGTTTTACTGCTGAGGTTTCAACACCAACAAGATACATAGCTTAGGGATGTCCAAATGGCTTACCTATTGCACCCAGATTTGTTTTCGAGTAGCCTTTTCAATTCCCCTGGTCTGCTGTCTGCTTCCTCCAACTCATTTAGCCTTTCTTGCTTCCTGTATTACTTTTAGTAGGATGAAAAGTTTGAATTGCCTGTCCACAAGCACTGGGCTAAAACTGTACAAGCACTCAGAAAGGAGGTGAAAAATGATTCCTGTCCATTCACCTTTCCCGTTGCTCCATCAGTTTTTCTGAAAATGTCCCTCTTGTGATATTATTCAAACTATAGTCTGAGCCATTAAGATACATAAGACCCGGCTTTTCCTCTGTGTGGAAATGCAAGGTTGATATTTGATTTTTTTTTTTCTTTTAAATGGAAGTATAATTCTACACCAAGCTTTTGAAAACAAAACCCAGCCAATGAAATTTGCTAAATCCTTTTAAAATGTGCACCAAGGTCTAGCATTTGAAGCAAAAAACGAAGCCAGTATATATGCCTTACATTCATAAGAAAATGTCACCTTGAAAAAGTGCTGTATTTGGGAGGGGAAAGGGTGTGTGAGGTGATTTTTTTTTTTAAGGCAGGGTCTCACGAAATTTCCCAGGTTGGTCTTGAACTTATGATCCTCCCACCTCAGCATCCACAGCACTAGGATTGCAGGTGTGCACCACCATGCCCAGTTTGGGGTGGTGACTTTAATAACCAAAGGATCTGGACTGTGTTTGGGTTTTCCAAAACCAGCAAAATATTCAAGAATGGAAACTGACCCTCGGTCATGCTAGGAGCAGCTCAGCCACAGCTGTAGAGCCACAGTACCATCATGACCCTGGCGTGGAGTATGGATCCTGCACAGCTATCTCCCGTTAGCTAGTGGGATGTACTGCAGGGAAGACGAGTCGCCCCCCCACTTGGGACCTTCTTTTTCTCAAAAGCAAACAGTGATTAACTAGATTAAGGTGTAAACCCCTTGCAGTACCAAAGTCCATAGCTTTACTAGTTTCTTCCAGTTTTACATAGACATTTTGCCCTTGAGTCAAGATATCATTTCTGTCACTTTCATGCAGAACTTTGTTTAAAGTATTGATATAAAATGACCAAGACAGTCTTGAATCAGAATTCTTCCACATGGCATCATTTTGTTTACATAAATGTTTTCAACAACTATTTCGACTTTCGGTTTTCCCCCATATCTTTATTTCAGGAGGTGGGTGGTGTAGTGGGAAAAGGGAGCTGTTTTTCTTTTCTCCTTTTCTTTTAAGACCTATCAAGTGGCTCCTAATCGCCAGGCCGACTGGCTGGAAAGGAGGGCAAATATTTACATGTATAGTTTGAATGTGTGTGTCAGCCTGAGTTTACACGACTCCAAGTGAAGCGGATTACCCTGCGAATTCGGAGAATTTGAGTAATTCAGGCTGAGCAAGGCCAACAGGACGCCCCCCCCCCCCCCAGGAGGCTGTGGGAAGTTCTGGCTGCAACCGAGTTTGCAAAGGCAGACGGTTCCGTGTTCTCTGAGGCTGGGCGTTGTAAAGGTCACACTCTCCCACTGAGTGTCGCGTGGTCCCCGCAGGGCTCCGCGCCATGACCCTCGCCTTCCCTTAGGCCACCGCCTCACTTTCCACAGTTCCTCTTGGAAATAGAAACCCCAGGGTAGAGGCACACTAATGCGCAGCAGAAGCCATGGTTTTGAGTGCAGCATCCTTTGCCAAATGCTCGCAGCTCTCCCTCAACGTTTTTATTTCAGGGCTGTATCTCTTCAATCCCACTGACAGGAGACCGAATTGGGGGACAGTTGAGGGCGAGTCCGGGACCTGGCCCATTGGCGCCAGTTCAGCGGCGCCGGTTTCCATTGTACTTAGCGCTGCCCAACTTTCTTTTGGAACTTTGAGAGCAGGTAAGAAAAAGAATGGAAGAGGCGAGAATTCCCTGAGGTTTCCACGTCCTCATCCCAAGTCCTAGGCCTTGATAAAAATGCCTTCTTCAGGCAGCGCGCACCGTCCTCCCGCCCCAGAACGGTGGGGTTGGAAGTGAGTGTCTGCTGTAGCTGTGTCACCCTGATGGCAGTACCTCTTGTAGTGAACCAGTGCTGGATTGTGGGCCCGCGAGAGCGCACAGCCAAGAGGGCGCCGCGCCCCAGGCGTGCCCACCCCGCCCGGCCTGCGGCCACGCCCCCCGACAGCAGAATCAGGAAACGGTGACGTGAAACAGCGCTGACTGGCTGCGGGCCTACGGGATAGCCACCGCCAGCAAATTAAGGCGCAGGGCAGCGAGTGCCCAGGCGCAGTGTCCGTCGCGCCTCGCTGGGGCTTTGCACGCCTGAGCTGCGGCTCCCGGGTGCTGGCGCCTCGCAGCGCCATACAGCGGGTCGCCACCTCCCGACAGTCTGGGACACTCCGGCTGTACCCAGCAGGGGCAGGGAGAAAGAAGCAGAGGGAGTGTCGCTGACCCCTGGGCTTTTCCTCAGCTGATGTTCGTTTCCGGCTTCGGGCAGTCTGTGCGCCTGCTGCGCTCCAGGCAGTTTGCGCACCTTCTTAAGTCTGCGAGTGATTCCCTTCCTCTTCCGCCGGTTCGAAGTCTCTGAGGCTCTAGGGCTTTGCGGTGGGAGAGAGGAAAGGCCAGCGTGGCACTCTGGGGAGTTTAGAGCTGTTTCTTCTGAAGTCCCAGGCTCCGCTGTGACTGCACTCGGAAACTTTGAGCTGTTTCGTGTCTTTGTCTTCTTTGGGGAAACTGGACGGCAGTTCGGTAGGCCCTGTCCCTGGCCAGGACCGCGCGCCGGGGACCATGGAGTTCACGGCGTCGCCCAAGCCCCAGCTGTCCTCCCGGGCCAACGCTTTCTCTATCGCCGCGCTCATGTCGAGTGGTGGCTCCAAGGAGAAGGAGGCTGCAGAGAACACCATCAAACCCCTGGGTAAGTTGGATTGCCTGGCTGTCCGTGCGGACAAGGGAGGCAAGTGCTGCGCATCCATCAGTTCCCTGGACACATTGCGCGGCTCGCGAGTCTGGCGGCAAGTGTGTCTGTCTTTCCTTTCTCGTGGCGCTTCTGACCGCCCCCACCCCCGGCCCTGTGCTTACATCTCAGGAGGAACATTTTTTTTTTTTCTTTCTTCGCTCAAATTTTCTTTGGAGGTTTCACACTATGTTGAACACCAGGGGTATGGCATCTCCAGATTGGGGTAGTAGTCGCTCTCCTTATTTATCTAGAATCCCGATGTCAAATCGGATGAATGGTGTATGAGTGTTAGGTTTGTTGAGATAAAAATATTCAAGGACAAATAATAATAAAGCCCCCGTTTAAGACCACAGGACTTAGGATGCGTGTAACACCTACTTGTGCATTAGAAACCAAGGGGGAAGCCAAGCGGTTTCACAAGAAACCATTTTGGTTTTTTGTCTGCTCTGATGTGAGTAGACTGAACGGAGCCCGCTCCTTAACACCACTGTGAAGTGCTATAGATTAAGCCAATTCTCCCCGCATGAACCATTTTCTTTACAGAAGTACCAGACTTAATCAGTAAAACTCATTTTGTAACTGTCATTTTCACTTGAGGTTGGCAAAAACATTAACCAGTAACCATTTCCCAGATTCCTCAACTTTTAGTTATACTGTTTATTTAACAACCTTTGCCATTTATAGTAGTCCCTAGGCTCAGAGTAAAGGGAGAGTAGGGTTTATGTTCTCCTTAACACAAGTGAGTTGTGTGGGAAAGAAACTACCCAAGATAAGTATTTTAAAATCCCTTTACAATGGAGGGGGAAAGAAGTGTTCTCACCATCCACTCTGGTGTTCTCAGTAAATAATTATCACATATCCTGATCACTTCATATACCTAATATAAGTAATCAAATAGCAAACTTAAGGTAATTTTTTTCTATTTTAACTAGCCCCAATATTTCTTTTATCCTCCCTATCTTCCTCAACTCTTCAAAAATAATCTTAATATTATATCATATTCAAAGTAATCTTAATGTGAAAGAGAAGAATTAGAGATAAAACAAAAAACAAAAACAACAACAAAAACAACAACAACAAGGGGCTTGGGCAGAGAGGCCAGAGAACTAAAATCCCTAGCAATAGGAACCAAGGAAATGAAACGGAAGATCTTAAGGAAAGACCATTTCAAAAAGTCTCTCCTCTGAAGTCTTCACTCCCCTTTTCTGGTTCTTTCCACCTACCTTCCATCTGAATAAAAACCTGTTGAAGAAATGGGAGCAACCAGTGAAACCTCAGTTATTTAGAAGAAACCTTAAGGACCAAGTTCAAAATCATATTTGTGGGACTTCTCACCATTATTCACCTCTAATTGGGGAGGGGGCTTAATTCTTTATGAAATCCCCATCTCATTTTGATACCTAGCAGGAAAAGAGAATTTCAGGTTAGAATTCTTAACGGATGTATGGACAGTGAACTGGGGAACAAGCCGGCTCCAGTTGCACTTCTTTATTGTTCTGAGAGAAACTACCTTCTCTCTGAATTCCTAAATTCCAAACTATAAAACCATTCCCAGCCCTCATGAACCCCTTCAACAGACCTCTCCCAGACACCCTCAAAATGAGCATTCTCAGACTGGAGTTCTGGCTCAGCGGTAGAGTGCTTGCCTGGCATGTGTGAGGCCCTGAGTTTGATTCTCAATACAGAATATAAATAAATAAAATAAAAGATTCATTGACATATATATGTCGATAGATAGATAGATAATGAACATTCTCTTAGCTTTTGAGAAGAGCTCAGCAAGAAGTGGTAGATGTTCTCTCTTGCATTGGCCAGTTCAACAGATCATAGTTAATGATTGTAAGCCAAGGACTCTTACAAGAGAACACCCAAAGGTTCTGTTATGAGACAGCAGCGTGGTACCTTTATGGAAGCCGCTGTGTATGTGTGTGTGAGGGGGGCTCAATGTATCCTGTTTCACCCTTTAAACATATTAAGTCTATTTAAAAGAACCAGTAGAGCTTTTAAATTAAGAATAATCAAATCAATTGTCATGCTGATTGTTTCAAGTTCAGAGAAAGAGAACAAGACCATCTCCAAATTTTATCTTCTGATATTTTGAGAAACACATTCACACGATGTCTTTAGAGGGATTTAAGTAGTAACCTTAACACAGCTCTTATTTTCCAACAACTAAAAGAGACAATATTCCTAAGCCCTAGATTTAATCAGTATATTAGGACTGGGAAGCAAAAGACAAGAATAATATTAAAGTTACTCCTTAATCCTATAAAGCCTCATGTGAATGTGTTTCTCAAAATATCAAGAGAAGATAAAATTTGGGGATGGCCTTGTTCCCTTCCTCCGAATTTGAAACAATCAGCATGACAGTTGTTTGATTATTCTTAATTTAAAACACTCCCATGAGTTGGATGATCATTGTATGAGAAGAAAATGCAATCTTCTCTATATCCTGTTTGTCCCACAAAAAGAAGTGTGAGAATTAACAAGGCATTTTATGATATAAACATGTCATACGTGCCCATCTACCTTGTACACCTGTGCATACATACATTTAGAACTTGTTCCCAGTCCTTGAGAGTACTTAGAATAGAGTTGTTTGGAGGTCAGCTTCACATTGTAGATTCAAGTAGTTTCTTTTTTAAGGGATGGAAGATAATTGGGACAATTACAAAAGTCCCTCTGTATTCCATCAAAGTGACTGATGTAGTCCCAGGCCCTTATCAGCCTGGCAGGAAAATGTTCAGTTCATCCAGTGGTATTCAGTCCTCGGACTTTTAATTCCATCTTCCCACTTTAATTCCCTGCTAACCTGGCTTTGAGGTGCTTTTTCTCAATTCCTGAATCTTTTTGAAGGAAAAAAAATCACATATGTTACCTCTCCAGGAATTTTCCAAGTCTAATCCAAAAATGGCCTAAAGAGCCTCCTACTGTGCTATAACAAGCTGTATGCTGGCATCGTTCATAAGATCTCGGGCTGGAAGGGAGATTATAAAATTTTATAATCTAATATTATCATCTCAAAGTCTAGAAAACTGAGAGCCAGACACAGAAATGGAGTTGTTGTTATTATTATTAATCACATTCTCACCTTTCTCCCAATTCCCTGTCCTCCTTTTATGGAGAGAAGGCTCCAGGGGAGAAGGGAAAATTCCTCTCAACCTGGTAAAGGTACTGACTGATCTCTTCACTCCCTTGATTTCCAGGAAGAAAAGTGTCCTGGTTGTCAGAGACAAGACTGGTACCACATTCCACAAGCTACAAAGTCTACATTTTAGCCTGCATGATCACTACCTTTCTCTTTCTTCACTCCTCACATTTTCCCCCCAAATGGGTTTCAATAATATTGGTAATAAGTAATGGTTCTAGAACTCACTCATTTGGTTTAGTAAGCAAGCAATAGGCATGTTACTCTACGGAAATGTCAGGTACATTTTGTACAGTGGGATATCTTCCCTAGCATCCTGGAGTTTCTGAGTTTAACTTTCCCAGAGTCAAATCCAGGTGTGTATTTTGGATATGCCGTTCTTTCTGAAAATTTCCGTGTTTAACAGTGTCATTCTCTATTCTCTTTGCCTCCAGAGCAATTCGTAGAGAAGTCATCCTGCTCCCAGCCGCTGGGAGAGCTGACCAGCCTGGATGCTCACGGGGAGTTCAGTGGAGGCAGTAGCAGCCCATCCTCCTCCTCTCTGTGCACTGAGCCGCTAATCCCCACCACCCCCATCATCCCCAGCGAGGAAATGGCCAAAATTGCCTGCAGCCTGGAAACCAAGGAGCTCTGGGACAAATTCCACGAACTGGGCACTGAAATGATTATCACCAAGTCGGGCAGGTAGCTGGGCCTTGGCGGGTGGGAATGAGGAAACTGTAGAGACCACGGAGGAAGTGCTCAGGGGCTTCCAGGAATTGGATTTTAGAGCTGGCTGGTCCTGGAGCAGGGAAGCAGCTTTGCTGAAAGGCAGCTTCCTTCAGCCAACTGGCATTTAGAAAGAGCTGCGGATGTCTGCATTCTCAGAGTCTGGCCGTGGGAAGCCCCACTAGGGGACTGACAATGCGCTTCCCCAAAGGACACAGTGGTTGGAGTCTTCTTGTCCCTTCCTCCAGGAGGGTTTGGAGCTCCTGTCAGGCCCAAATGGGGAATGGGCGGCTGGGCGCTGCAAGGGAGGGAGCAGCTTCTCTATTAGCATCCACAACTTGCAAAAGCCGCCAACTTCCATTAACTACTATTTTTTTTAGAAAAATATTTATTTCAAAATAAAATTTGGAGGAAAAAATTTCCTGTCGCAAGAATCGCTGGTGCGGTGGGCCCTTTGGCTCCGAAGCTGGGCAGACTCCAGCCTGCAGGAAGTCTTGGGGGCTATAGCATGGGCAGCTGGAACCCGGCAAAAGCTCCTAGGTCAGTGCCCCTGGGCAATACCCGCAGTACCGTAGTGTCTTGGGAAACCCGTTCTTCGATTCCCTGCTATTAGGGTTTGTTTGTTTTTATCATCTTTTTCCGGGTAGCACGTGCAAATTGAATCAGCTCTGGTGACTTTGGTCCTCTCCAGATGAATTTTCTCTAATCACACACCTTCCAATGTTGGGGTGTGGGGGTAGGGACCATAAAACTTTCACCTAGCAGTGAGGATTTGCGTAAAGGTGAAACTTAAACCATGCACGTTTTAGGAGAAGTTGTGTCTCTGTATTCACATCACTGTGGCTTTACAAGAAAAAAAAAAAAAAAGGTGGTTTGGGAGGAGGGGATGCGCAGGGATGAAAGTCCATCCTTTCCCTCCCCTCCCAATTCAAGTCAGTTCAGTTCAAGTCAGTTCACTAGGAAGTGTGAACAGGGCGGGTTCTTTGTCTCTCTTTGTCAGGAGGATGTTTCCAACCATCCGGGTGTCCTTTTCGGGCGTGGATCCTGAGGCCAAGTACATAGTCTTGATGGACATCGTCCCTGTGGACAACAAGAGGTATCGCTATGCCTACCACCGGTCCTCTTGGCTGGTGGCCGGCAAGGCCGACCCGCCGCTGCCAGCCAGGTTCGTGCTTCTGGATTTTTCGCTGGAGCAAAATGTTATTAACCCCTCTGGCAGAATGTCTCTGGCTTATGTGAATTTTAAGCAGGTCTGTTTTTAAAGCAGGGTTCTGGCATGAAGACTTTCCAAACCTGGAAACTCCAGGGTTGAATGGAAAATATACTAGTCTCCAAGAAAGACAGTTTACACATAGAGAAAACACTGATTTTATTTTTCTTGTATTTCAAAGTTTTCCTTAAATTTGAATATTTATTAGAAATCTAAACCATCTGATATATGTTTGTGTATAAAATTGCTAATTGATACTTAAAACCCGACTAGATAAAAATACTAATGAAATGGTTGCCCTAAATTTTTTTTTCAGAACAATGTACTTTAGCAGAGTGTTTGCTTATTGTGAACATTTTTTAGTAATTGGTTATATTTGCACATAATAAACATCATTTTGGTAAAATTTGGTTGTTTTTGACAGATAAAGGGTTCAGAGATTTTAAGAAAATCAAACCCTTTTCCCCCCTCCACAGTTTTAATGGATCAATGTAATTCAACAAGTTAATATTCTTTTACATGAAACATTACTCAGTTAATGTATTAGGGATCATATGTATTTATTCATGTGGTAGTCATTGCTAATAATGTTTTTCTAGGAATATACTGTTTAAAATAATTCCACACACACTTTTATTATTGTTGATATTTCATTCAAATGACCATTCTTGGGGGAGGGAGAGCATGTATTTGTGAATAGTAATAGCTAAAGCTACAAAATCTAACCTCATAATTTAATATAAAACAGAATATTAGCTGACTTTGTATTTTGTGTTTAACCTCATAACTTTTAAATTGTTTCATGACTATTTGTGTGTGTGTGTGTGGGGGGGGTTAACTGAAAGGTGGTGTCAGAGATAAGAATTTATTTAAATGTGCATATTTTGAAGTTATGACTGACATATATCTAGTATGGAGTCCTTGTCAAGACACACAATTTATACATTCAGCTCAGATATTCTACTTAATCAATAGTTGGTCACGTTACTGAGTTTATTGTGTGCTAAATCCACTAGAGAAAGGATTATTAGCCCCTTTCAGTTTTCTTAGAGTAGGAAGGTCATCTTCCCAACCTTTCTAAATCAATATATTAAATAACATTTAGGACTAAGACATGTCTTAAAAATTACAACTCATATTTTTAATTGAGCAAGATGTGACAGTTTACAATATAAAATTAATGGAACTAGTATTCTCTATTATTTAATAGTCAATTTACTGTTATTCTTGAGCTTCCTTCTGAACTTTTTGATATTGTTTTAAATTAGAGAGAGAGAGAGAGAGAGAGAGAGAGAGAGAGAGATATTTTAGCCGATTCTTAACAACTGTTTTTTATAAACACTCTTTTTTGTTTTCCCAGTCTTCTAAGAAGTTAATCGCTCTTATTTAACATGCATTTTCTTCCTATCTGAAGGTATGGGGAAATGGTGCAGGCCAGCAGGACTTTGGAAATATGACATGTCTTGTTTATGTTACTAATCTGTTCTGGTTAGAGAAAGAAAGCTCGCTCGTACCAATACACTATCTTAACTGAAGCATGTTTAAGCTATTGCTGGAATTTTAAGTCCTCCTTGGGAGGGGTTCGAGAGGGGAGGGGCTTCCTGTAAGAGTTTTCATTTATGCTACTTCAGTTTATTTATGTTGATATTAGATAAAACTGTGTAGTGGATTATGGAATATAAATATTCTGGATAATTTAAGCAACTATTCTTTATTATCATTGTCAAAAGAAATAGTTTGCTGTATTCTCTACCTCCCCAAAGAAAAGGGGGAAAATTGGGGAAACGAGAATTTTTGTACTGATAGAAGAAATTTTTTGTGGTTCTAGGTCTTTAAAGCACTATATTTTAAAGTCTGTTGGTCTATCATGTTTAATCAGAAGAAATAATTCCTGACAATATTATTTGATAGTTATGGGCAAGACATTTTCATATAGGACATTTCTTTTTTAAAAAAAGTAATTAGTATGTAAATAGGTTACTATTTACTCTTAATGTGATTATGTATAGTGACTATGATACTTTAAAGAAAAAATTTCATCAACTTCTAGGATTTTCAATAATTTTGTACTTTTGGGGGAGTGTAGGAAAGGATACTGATCAATAAAACAACTGCACTTATAAAGTTAAAGCTTCAGAAGGATGAATTTAAAAAGCTATTATTTCTGTGCTGTAAAAAAATGAATACTTTAATGAAAGCAGTCATGAGCACCCGTCCTAAGAACAGTGAAACAAACACCTAAAGGCTTTAAAGTTCTTCCATGAATCTGGCCAACATCTTTAATGCTGTTAGCCTTTTCTTTGCTTTGCTCTGAGTGGACTTTGTAAGTTCCAGCCTGAGTTCCGTAGTCTTCTATTCTTAGTCTTCTTGACAAACCATGGCATAGCCTTCTTGTCCTGTATACGAACATTACAAGGAAATGTTTTTTGTGACTTCTTTCTCTTGCTTTGCCCAACCAAAATATTAATGTTTAATTATATTTATAAGACTCCTATATGGAACCTCCATATAAATAGCCTGTTTCATGGATAAAGGAATTTATCAGGGTTGGGGTGTAGCTCAGTGGTAGAACTCATTCTTTGCATGTAAAGGCTCTGAGTTCAATCCCTCAGATATTATTTTTTTCTGTGAAATCCAGAATTTCACCTTCCCCCTCAATAGTTCTTTAATTTCCCTCTGATTTCAGAAAGGTTTTGTCAAGAAAACATCAGGATAGAGATTTACAAAGAGTTGTACTTGAGGTAATGGTTGCAGGTATAACAAATGGCCTATGTTTTGCTGTGAGTAAAAGATTGCCTTGCATATAGGAATGGATCAATAAATGATAGATTTTTTTCCATCAAAACTTTTATTTATTTGCTTAAGCTTTTTTACAAATGAATTGATTGAATAATTCAATGCTTATGCAGCTTGTTTAAACTCTTATTTAGTGAGCATAAAAACAGATGATGATGAAAGTAGGTGACAGTGTTTAAAGTACCAGAAGGCTCACCAGAATCTCAGCTCTGATAGAATTCTCCATGTTCCTGTATTAAAATTCCCTTTTTTATGTTTGCAAAGAACATGGACTTTAAACCAAGTCACTATTAAGTTTAAATAAATGGATTCTCTAAAATTGTTGCCTCTTTTAAATTCTTTGTTTACCTTGCTTTTTAATGATACTTGTAATAGGGACTCATGTAAATAGTCTAGTCTTTTTCTTCTGAAAATACCTATAAGATTTTGTGTTTGGTAGTTGCAGTAGATAGATAGAAAAAAAAAACAACTAGATAGAAAAAAAACAACCCATCTTTTAAAAATGGTAGCTGACTAGATAGATGGAAAAAAAAACAACCCATCTTTTAAAAATGGCTTGCTCGGCACATACAGAATATTTATTATTACCCTTTTTAGATCATTGGTGCATGAAACATAAGATATGTTTTTGAGTTATTTTAGCATTATTTATATTAATAAAATTGAAGCATGTGGAGCAAACAAAATGGGCCACTTATATGAGGTTTATGTGTTCCTGTAGGCACAGAACATTGTACAACTCACAGAGACAGATTTTTAAAAAGTGTCTCAATGAAGTTCTCTCATGATTTTAGGCTCTATGTGCACCCAGACTCTCCCTTTACTGGCGAGCAGCTACTCAAACAGATGGTGTCTTTTGAAAAGGTGAAACTTACCAACAATGAGCTGGATCAACATGGACACGTAAGTAGGGTGCCTTGGACTGTGCTGGTACTCTGGATGGAACGGAGAAGTCATACAATACGTCCTCTCAGTCCTTTTCTCCCTTCCCACTCCACTTTCTACTTTTCATCTCTGAGTCATTCTATGAGAACATTCATGTGTTCTTCAGGGAACCTTGACAGATTTTGTCAAGAAGCCATTGCAGGCATGTCATGTGCCACTGCCCTGTGAGAGGGTCATAGATCTTCTGTGCCATGGGTTTCCCAACACTTCTGCAACTGCCTTATCACCTGAGTCAACTACACATAGGAAGCTATTGCAAACTGGTCTTGCTTAAGCATCCAATTTCTGTATCAAATAATTCAGCATAAAGGAAACGGGACTAAGACTTTCCTTGAGAGTGTTCTATAGAACACATTCATGTAAGATGCAATAGAATAAAAGGGCTTTTTTTTTTCTAAATAAGTTTGCAATGCTGTTTACTTATTTTGTATCCCTTTTTGGAGAGTTTTGTAAATGTTAAAACAGAGAATCCCTGCCATTAAAATGAAAGATTTATTTTGTGTCAATATAGTTCATTAAAATATGGAAAAAAAGAGAAATTGCAACCATAAGCTCTTATCAGTAGTTAATAGAACAAATAGTCACTGATGGAGACCCTTACACATTTGCCAGAATTCCTTTTTAAGGCATTATCTGTGATATAATTCAGTGCTTCTATATGGCAATTTACATATCCATTTGGATTCAGTTTTTATATTAAGAAACTTTAGACAAACTTGCAAACTTCTTTTTAATAAGAAATTACTATCTTTTTCTTTCTTTTACCCCTTTACTAAGTAAGGATTTTGTTACTTAAGGTTTTAGTTTTCATTAAATCTGTGCCAATTAGAGGAAGTATTTCAAAATCTTTTTCAAAGATGTCTTTGTGCTGGGGATGTGGCTCAAGCGATAGCGCTCTTGCCTGGAGTGCGTGGGGTGCTGGGTTCGATCCTCATCACCACATAAAAGTAAAATAAAGATGTTGTGTCCACCGAAAACTAAAAAATAAATATTAAAAAGTTCCTTCTCTCTCTCTTAAAAAAAAGATGTCTTTAAGTAGATAATTAAATAGAGAGTTGTAGATACAGTTTCAAATGGTTGGATTGAACCTGGAACCAACTAAAAGGCTTTTGGTGTTACCACCATTCGTTTGCCCCCAGGCCTCCTTTATAACATCAGTCAGGGTGACCAGGTTAACTTCTGTCTATTGATGGCGCTGTTGAGATATTGAAAGTAGGTTAGTAAGCTTTTGTTTTTTTAAGTACTGACCTTTATAGATGTTGGCATAACTTCCTTTCAGTTATTTATTTATTTATTATTATTATTATTATTATTATTTTGATGTGTCCATTCATGGATTTTTTTCAGGTTAAAATTTATGAAGCATCTGAATGATTTTTTTTGTAGGTCAGTGATAATTTTTAATGTCATTCATATTAAAATTTCTTGGGCACCAACTGAAATCTTTGCAAGGAAAAAGGAAATTCTTTTATGGGTCTGGTATTTTCCCTATGTGAAGCTTTTAGGAGGATTATTTGGGTCATTCCAGAAAGACCTGACTGTTCATCTTGGGATAAACTGTCCAGAATTTAAATGTCTTTCTTGTTCATGACAGCTTCATGGTGGGACTAGCACTACACTGGATTTCAGGAGCTCTGGGTTTTAACTTGTTCATGTCAAGATCAGACCTTGACAAACTGTTGCTCATATCCATTTTGCTTTAAAAATTTCATGATTCAATATAACCCTTTGTCACCAGAATGAGTGTGTTCTGAAAATTTTAACCAAATATTTTTTTGACAATGTGTTGTTTGGCTAACTTTTTTGAACCTGTTCTGAAGCCCTAATACAGATGCATTTTTAGCCTTATAACAGGGCAATTTCCTATCCCCAGAAATTTATTTTTACAATGAAGCAGAGTCCATATTTCTTTTAGTGTTTCTTAGCTCCAGGAGGCATGGTGACCAGAGTCAGAAACTCTGGGGTCTCAGACTGTTCGGTGCATGTTCCCAGATGAAATTGGCCTTGCGGGCAATTGGAAGTAGGGGAAAGGGTGTTATTTAAAGCTTACTGTATATTTTTTTTTTGTCATTTCAATATGCATATGTATGAGCTGGTGTGTAAATGATTTGAAAATTATTCTTAGTAGAACATATAAGGAATGTTGAAGTTTTCATTTTTTTCTTTATCAGTGTTGAAGACAAATGCTTCCTTTGATTGCTTCAAATGTATTCCAGTTTTGTGATTAGCATCAGTAGCATGAACTTCCAGTGATAAATGCATTATACAAAGAGATGACATTATTTTTTAAAGTTTTATTTAATTCATTTGAAGTTCTAATTTGTTTCAGTTATTCCTATTCTAGTTTAGAGTCATAAAAAGGTGACATATGCAAAATTCAATCCCTTCCCTTCCTGTTACTTTACTTTGGCTTACAAGTTGAAGAGACTGGCAGAGATGGATTATGTTGTTCCCTCCATATCAGTGGGGGTTGGTTCTCAGATCCCCTGTGGAAAACAAAATTCATGGATGTTCAAGAACCTTTATATAAACTTATGCAGTCTTTGCATATAACTTCCTATATACTTCAGATAACCTGTAGCTTATTCATAATACCTAATACAATGTACAGTTGTATTTCTATGTTGTTTAGGAAATAATGACAAGAAAATATGTTCTATACTTATGAACATATGAATATGTTCTATACATATGTAATTAAAATTTTTTTTGGATTTGAAGTTGATTTAATCTGGAGATGCAGATTGTATATACATTTATCCCACAATATCTAACACTTAATTCTGCTAAAGCCTGTTGGCAGAAACACTTACCACACCCATGTTAGCAGGAGAGCAAGGGAGTCATCAGCTGCAGTATCAGTAGCAGCAACCAACACTGAGTGCCTGCGACCCTGCCACACTGTTTATCAAGTGAGTGTGAGAGCCAGTCTCTCTGCTAGGGGCTTAAAGGAAAGCAAATAATGTAAGCCCCTAAGCCCAGGAAAGAGACCCAGCTTTAGACATTTAGGTAGCTATCTGGGTGACAGTGGGAAGAGGTGAGAAATTTTTATATCTAAAAATGAGTTTTGTTGCTTACATTTCATAATGAAAATGTTTTATATTTTATTTAAAAGATAAATGAAAGATGTTGTCTCTTAGTTGCCTCATAACAGGGTATCTTTATTATTTCTAAGAATTTGTCAACTTTAATCAGCTATAGAATGGAAGATGGCCACCACTGTGATTCTGATTTAGCTTTCTTTCTTTTATCTTTTGGCTGGGCAGATACTGAGGAACTGAAACCTGGGGTACTCTACCACTGAGCTATATCCCTAGCCCTTTTTATTTTTATTTTGAAACAGGGTCTTGCTAAGTTGCCCAGGGTAGCCCTGAACTTACAGTTCTCCTGCCTTCCAAGTAGCTGGGATCAGAGGCATGCAGCACTGTGCTGGACTTCAGGTTTTATATTACACCTGGAAGTTTTGAATGGGGGAAGCTGTCGTAAATATGAACAGTAGAGTTCATATTTACTGAGCATTTCCTATTTCTGTGTGCTTTATCAGGGTTATGCTGTATGATCCTCATCAGAGCCCTATGAGGTTAGCCTTGTTTTTGCATTTGAGAAAACTAGAGGTTGGAGAGTTTTAAATCATTTGTTACCAAGATTAAAGAGCTGTAAAATGGAAGAATATAGGTTTCTAACATATGTCTGTCTTATACCATACCTCCTTTCTAAATTATTTTACTCTTGCCCCTATGAGTCATAACCTGGCCTCCTAGAATATGTAATTGTTTTTTATTTTAGAAAATTCAGACATACATTATTTTTGGCCTAATAAAAGTATTTAAAGACTTGATTTTTACCAAATGAATAGAACCTATCCTCCAGATGACCCACTCCCTCTCCCTCATCATTTTAGAAAGGACCTTTGAAGCAAACTGGGTTATTTGCAGTTATTTTGGTAAAATGTGATTCATAACAATGACTCTGCAGAAGTATGTGAAAATGATTTGCCTGGAATGGAAAGGATAGATCCTAATCTTAAAATTGAATTTGAAATTATAGATTTGATTTTTCTTGCTTTGCCTCACTATACTCTTTGGCTGGCTAAGTATGTAAAATTCAGTATTTTCTATCTCTTTTTGTAGATAATTTTGAATTCAATGCATAAGTACCAGCCACGGGTACACATCATTAAGAAGAAAGACCACACGGCCTCCTTGCTCAACTTGAAGTCTGAAGAATTCAGAACGTTCATCTTTCCTGAGACAGTTTTTACAGCAGTCACAGCCTACCAGAATCAGCTGGTGAGTGCACAGTGCACAATTTAGCTTCTGCAGAGGGTAAGGACTTAGGAAGCTTCAGTTGCCAGCCCTCATAATGGTTGTTTACTTAGGATAAAGCTACTGAATGGCAGCCCTAGGCCCTCTAGGGGTGTGATGAGTGGCTATATATGACATCATTTTACTTTCTAGAATCTTCAGATTCCAAGTCAGTTGTTCATTGCCCACTCTCTGCCCCAATCTGCCTTCTCAAATGTTCTTTTTTTTTAAGTATTTTTTTTAGTTATAGATGGACTTTTAAAAAAAATTTATATGTAGTGCAGTGCTGAAAATTGAACTCAGTGCCTCAGACATGCTACGCAACTTCTCTACCACTGGGCTATAACCCTAGCCCTACCTTCTCATATGATCTTTTCCAGAAGATTATCTGCTTCTTTTTCTCTACCTCCTGTCAACATGTACAACCCTGTCCTTGTTGCTCCATAAAATTTAAAAGTTTAGTTTCTCTGATTAATTAAACACACATCTTCTTGTCAACTGTCCAAACTGCTGATACTTCAGATATCTTGTGAGGTTGACTCAATTGTAATTTAGAATGATTCTAGTCAAATTATTTTAAATGTTTCTTTAAATAATAAACTGCAGTATGTAAACAGTTATGCATTTAATTAACATCAAGATATTTAATTTATATTCTTAATATTACATTTCAAATTTGTGCATTTTATTTGTCCAGAAAGTTTATTCCAACATAGTAAATATTTATCAAGGTCCCAGTAAGGGCCTAGCACTGTTAGATACATTTTCTTCTTTTGTGGTCGGCATGAGCTCAAAAGACTTACAGTAATAGTAACAATCTACAGGTGAGGAAGCTGAGGCGAAGAGGTAAGTGACTTCTGTAGTTCAGAAACACCAGAATTTGAATTCCTTTGGATATTCTTCAGTAAAAGGGGCTCAAGCTCTCAGTGTACTTCCCGGTTCAATTGTTCATAGCCTGGTTTTGTATCTTGCTTTTATTTGATTAGTTATGGGTAGTCAGGACAGTTGCTGTCCTCTTGTGGTATTCTTGAGCTTTAGTTTCTGAGGTACTGCCCGATAGATGGCTCAGAGTCTATCATAGGTTGACCAAGCAGAGGGAATATGGTATAGGCTCTTAGGAAAAGCAAGATAAAGCCTAGAGCCCAGGTAGCCCATTGCTCATGAAGGAATGGAAGCCCAGGAAAGGGATGTGGGCAAACTGCCAGAGTGGATATGTAATGCTTGAGGACCTACAATTCCTGTATGACTTTGAGTAGGCTTTATTTCACCACTGTGGCTGCCATTTTCCTTACTGATAAGCTGGGGCTAAGAACTAACCAGACCATCTTAGGAGACTGCCATGAAGATCCAGTGAAAGCAAACATGCCTTTGGATGGTGTCAGGCTGGACTATCTCAGGCATGTCAAAAGAGAATTTGTCATTGTTTGAATTTTAAATTTAGCGATGTCTTTTCTCAATGAGATAAATCAGGGCATAGTTGTTATCCTGTGAGTCATCTTATTGCAGAAACAAAACAAAGTATTTTACCTTTCACATTTTCTCCAAAATGACAACACAAGAAGAGAACCTTTCAGAGAATGCCCAAGCTAAAACAATGTGTACTGCCTGAAGTCCACAAAAGCCAAAAACCCTAATGCTTGTTGCCCTGAAAATCTGGAATTTTGAAACCAGTAATCCCATTTTTAATTGACTTGAAGGCACATGGAATGCAGATATCATAGATTCAGAAGAAGTTTGGGAAACATTCAATTCATTTTTATACTAACTGAATTTAAAACCTTGATAATATAAATATCAGATTTACAAAAATTTAAGACGCCCTGTTGATGTTTCAGAATGAAGTAAAAACTTGTCATATGGATATTTCAATACTTTTATCTGAATTCTTTGTAAAAAGGGCAAAGAGTTAGTAATTATTTTTAGTGAAAATTATAGAGACAGATCAAAAACTAAAGGAAGTTTATATATATAATGCATTAGATTTAGTTATAAATATGGGTAGGACTTCTCATAGTATACTGAAATAGGAGCATATTATATATAATAATACTTAATTTCAGTACTTACTATGCACAAAACACTGTTTGAAGGGTATTTTCTTTTTTAATTTTCACAGTGATATTATGAGATAGGAACAACAAAAGAGAAATCATCAAAAGAGAATTTTGAGGGCTGGGGATGTGGCTCATGTGGTAACATGCTCACCTGGCATGCACGGGGCACTGGATTTGACCCTCATCATCACATAAAAAATAAAAAATAAAAAAAATAAAGATGTTGTGTCCACCAAAAACTGAACAATAAATATTAAATATTCTCTCTCTCTTTTAAAAAAAGAGAATTTTAACAAATTTTTAAGCAAAATTTTTATTCTGCATTATACAGTTGTTAAAATCGAGGCAGAAGTTAAAAAAGCCACCCAGAGTGATCTTACTGCTCCCATCACAGATTTAAATCCAGGTGGTTACATTTGAGAATCATTGTCTTTAACCTTCTTTAATGTGTAGGTGCCTACTGTTCAGAACTCATCCTCTCTCTACTTTTGACCCTTATATGCTGAGACATCCTTTTTTTTTTTTTAAATAGGGTTTCATCTCTTTATGCTCTTTTTTTTTTCTCCTCCAAAAATACTCACTGCTCATCTGCTGTGTGAAGGGTTCCATTCACACTGCAAATTATTGAGTGTAACTAGAGGGTCACCATCCTCAACTGGAGGTCAGAAGATATACTAGTGTTAGCTGTATCTAATAGGAGCTACAGCTACATGCTTTAATGTCATATTATCTCATATAATTATTTTTCCACTAAACTTTTTACTTAGAAAATTTTCAAATAAGCAAGGAAAAATGTAGTGAATGTACCCTCCTTTTAGATTCAACAACTAACATTTTTCCAAATTTGCTTCATCTCTTCCTTCTCTCTCCTATTTGTATACATACTTTCCTCCTCCCTGAATTACTTGAAACTGAGATGCAACATCATGACATTTTATTACTAAAGACTTCTACAAGTGTATCCTGACAATAAGGATATTTTTATGACCATAATATCTTTATCAATTGATAAGAATTATTCATTAATGTTGTCTAATATTCAGTTCATTTAAAATTTTTAGGGTAGACCAATGTGGTTTTGGTAATTTTTTTCTCTCTCTCTTAACTAGGCTCTAACTCAAGTTCATAGTTTGGATTTATTATTTCAAATTTAGAAAAACCTTTCCACATTTTTTTTCTTAATCTATTTAATTCTGACAGTTATCCCTAAAGGAAGCCCTATGAGCATCATTTTGTAGATAAAAGAAACTGAGGTTCAGAGTGGTTAAGTCACTCGCCCAAGGCCACAAATTTGATAAACAACATGGTCCATCCTGAGGTTTTGATCTTCCAGGTTTTAATTCTTCCCTTTTGGTGGCATTATGGTGTTTTTCAAGGCTAAGGATATGACCACTGCCTGTGTCAAAGGTTTGAGAAGTGAGTTTGAAAATGTTACTAAGTTAAAATAGGTTAAGATACTAATTAATGCTGATTCCAACACTAATTGCTTCTCTTGCTAATGTTTTATTTCTAATTGATACTATAAATGGGCTTAAAATCCAGCCACAAGAAACCCACTATCCTTTATTGCATCGTAAAGTATAAAGATTAATATGATTAGTATGTCATTTCATTGCTGAATAACCCACAATGGAAGCATGTGAATTCAGAATTAACTTCCTCAGCAGACCCTTTTGTGCCTTAGTTTATTTCTGTGCATTTGCCTTTAAAACCACCATCTTTAGTATAAACCCTCGTATAAATGTGAAATTCAGTTAATAGTCCAAGACTTGATTTTATATACTGATAGGCCAGTTTTGCAAATGGTTTATAAATCTCAGAAGATGAATCAAAATTCCTAAAGCAGATGCTTAAAAACATGTGGAATGAATAAATCAGTTTGAGGGGTTTAGCATTTTCACTAGTTCTATGACAGTTTCTAAAGTTTTACTTAATTCTTTCTAGGTCTCTGTATATCAACAGCTTCTTAAGTGTTATGCTGTTTATGCACTGCTTTCCTTACAGTAAACATATACTAAAATAAGTGTATAAGATATAAACAAAGTAAATTTTAATATTTATGCTATACTGTGTATAGCATAAATATTAAAATTTTTTCATGAGTGAAGAACAAGGAGGTAAGAAAAAAGAGGAGAGGATTTGAAAGTTGATATTTAGGACCACTTTATATCTTGAATTTTGGATAAGACCATTATTTTTATTTCTATTCAAATCCAAATCAAAGTTTTCAGTAGAATTTGTGAAAAAAAAGCTTCTCATTTATTATGGATGGTGGTTTTATTTATAAGTAATGAAAATCAAATTTTTTTTTTTTTTTGCTACTCCTTTCTCCTTTCTTTGCAAGGGAATGATTGCATTTCTGTACATTATTAGATAAAAGCTAAATACATTACACTTTCAACAAACTGTTTTATAATTTAAAATTTAAAGGTCATGCATTGCTTTTGAGCAGGCAGATCATTGCCATAGAGTTGAAGTGTAGGTCAGGTTTCATTTTTAAATGCCTTTGGTCAGATCTTTTCCTGATAATTGGAGAAATGGTCTCTGAGGGCCAGTTTCACCTTGTCACTGGGAACCCCAGATTAGGTTCAGAGTCCGGTGATATCACTGGGAATCAGGACACTGCAAAAGCTTCCTTTTGACAAATGGTGGTGTCAAAAATCTGCCCTCCAATGATGCACATATTTATTTGCAGATAATATAGATGTTAAAAGAGTAAATTTTCTCCAAAAGAATTGTATTATGGATATTGTGGAAATTATACATGCAAAATAAAAATAGCAATGTATTTTGACCTGAATTAGTCATACATACTCTACACTGTAGGCGCTCTTAAGCAATTACAATTACCTTTATGTTCTTTTCACCAAGTAAGAAACATGGCTTTCTTTAAAAATTGATTTTGAACGATAAAGAAGCCATAGCCCTAGTTTCTCTGTAAGTGATGTTTCGTAGTTGATCCTTTTTTGATTCTTCTTTTTTTAATCTTTGACAAGGGTGATCTTGTCCCATGACGCAACTCAGGCTTCCTGTATTAGAGCATGAGTGAAATGATGTCCAGCTGCAGCCGGGACTATAGCTCAGCTCTTCTCTCTGACCAACTCTCAAGTGCACTGCTTTTTCAGTTTTCCCAAATTTCAGAAAGGGATGTAAAACTACACCACCTGAAGTGAATATCTTTCTGAATAACTACTGGCTTTTATTTAAATAGTGAGGAAGGAAATCTCTCTCTGATCTCTTACCATGTGGTTACCTAGAATGTTAGAATTTTACTATTTAAAAATCATTTTATCTTAAAAATTAGAAAATGAAATAAAATGCTTTTAAGTAAATTTACAGTTTTAGTTAGTCTGTAACTAGTAAAAGGATGAAATCATATTTCCGGCTGCTTGTTGTTGAAGTAAAGCTTAACATACATTTTGAGTCTATTAGTGTGGACACCCAGGTAAATTCAGAGTCTAGCTTTATTATAGTGAGTGGGATGGGCTCACTGAGAAGTTGAACCCAGGTCCCTGTGCTGCCAATTAATACTCCAGAAAAAAAATTTAAGGATGTAGTATCAACCAAGAGTTCCTATACAATTTTAATGATAATAGATTTTTTTCCCTCTAATATATAAAAGGAATTATGTTCTCCAGAATTAGACAAAGTGGTCCATAGAAAATGTAAACACCTGGTAATTGTCTCAAAGTCTTTTTTCTAATTAATACCCTAAAATTAAATCATTCTGTACCTAATTAGTAAATCTGAGTATATAAAACACCATATATAATTCTTGCAACTTTTCTAAAGTCTGTAATAATATCAAAATGTAGAAGAAAAAGTTACCATTGATAGTCCTGGATTATGAAAACTGGGTTTAAGAAATATTGAAGTAGAGAATTCTAATAATAAAAGAAAATTCAAAAAAATCTGAAAACTCACATTAAATTTAATTCAGTTCCTTGCTCAAAGCTGTGGCAGTAACATTAGATAAAGGAAGACAGTGGACAACACATTTTTAGAGTACATTTTCTATCTGGTGTTAGGGACTGAAGGTTTTAAGATCACTCCACACTCATCACATTCTGACACATTAATCTTTATTTTTGGAAATATGAACAAGACCAAATATATTTTGAAATCTTTTTTCAGGGACAAAGTATTTAGAAATTATAAAAGATAGATAATTCCTTCTGTCCTTTTAGTTTACACTGGGATTTAAAAAGCTTTCCATGGTTCACATTTAAGAACATCTGTAAAAGAATTTCTTACAATATGAGCTTTTCTATCTGATATATTATCTGCTATTATCTCTAGAAAATTTTAACCACTGGAAAATCCATTCATTTTTTTTTTTTTTTGCTTCTATAAACATGCTACTTGAAGGAAAGCTCACCTTTATTATTCTGTCCTGTTGTTTTGGCTTGAAATTTTCATCTGGGTTTGATTCACCCTTAAGGTGACTAACCATGCAGGGACACGGTGCCACCTTTCAGTTCAGTTAGCAGTGCATCTCTTTGCCTGCCAAGAGACCATGGGTTCTTTATTTATGAACTATTCAACATCTAGCACTGTATATGCAAAGTAACCCTCATCAAGTAGTTGTTGATGAATTATTGCAAAAATATTTTCATGAACTATAGAACACTTTAGAAATATAAAATATTTTAAATTATAATTGTTCAGTAGAAAGAGACATAGCTCTTGCCCTTGAGGATTTTAAAATCTTGTTGATACTTAGAATCGTAGAATACATTGATAGTGTGAGTATTAGGAGATATTTGTGATTTATTTCAAACAAATAAAAATTTTCTCCTTCCTGAAAAATCAACCTTCAAAAATAAAGTTCTAGTCCGCATGAACAAATGGCTGGAGCTGACAACTCTTTAGTAAATGTTAGTTATGTATGAGAAAAGGTTCTCTACTAGCTTTTGATGGCATGTTATAGAGGCAACCTCAGGTGACCTGTATATTATTTGTGTATATACTCTAAATAGATGTTGTTCTCCATTGTTGTCAGGTTGTTTATTTATCTTGCTTATTTTCTTCCCTATTTACCAATTCCATAACTAAGTAAGAAGGAAATTAGTTACTTTCTTTTGGTGCTCTACAGTGGATGTTCATGAACTAAAGATAAACATTTCTGAGAAACTTAAAGCCCTTAAAGGTTATTACCACAGACCCCATCTTGTGGCTTCCTAGTGTAATGGATAGAATAGAGCTGTCCATCTGGTGGGAATTGTGCAGGAGAGCTTCCATCTTTTTTTTTTTTTTAAATATTTTTGAGTTGTCAGTGGATCTTTTATTTATTTATATGCAATGCTGAGAATTGAACCCAGGGCCTCACACATGCCAAGCAAGTGCTCTACCACTGAGCTATGACTCCAGCCCCAAGAGCTTCCATTTTAAGGGAGGTGAAGAGCTTGTGTGCAGTTTTGCAAGTTTAGCTCACATTAAGAAAACTAGAAAAAAAAAACACATCTTTTTTAGTGAGAAAATAAATTATGTGTTGAGGATTTAAAGGTAACTGTGGATATACTTTAATTAGAAAAAGTTACACTTGGCAACATATTATTCCACACTCCCTATTCTAGTTGTTATTCCTTATTTTGAAGGAAAAGGACATTTTTCAATCCATGACTACCTTCCCTTTAAGAATATTTTGTATGTGTTTTCCTTCAAAGATTAACATGGAGTCTAATTTTGATGCTGGTGAACTGTGTCTCTCTTGGTAGGTTTCCTCTGTTCTAATTCAGTTACTGACCAGCTGCGTCTTGGTCCTTACACCTTTGTGCCTCAGTGGAACCATATATCAGAGGAGGGCATGGGTTCAATGCTCTCTGAGGTTCCTTTCAGCTCTGACAGCAATTTTCCATGTCAAGTATCTTTTAATTAGTATCTTTTAATTAATTAGTATTTCATCTATTTTTTGCTTCACAACCTAATGTATTTTTCATTGAAGACATGGTACATATGATTTAATGGATCTTTCTACTTTAATGTTAGTATTATAAGAATTATAAATACTGTTGGGTATGATGTCACATGCCTGTCTTTCCAATGGCCCAGGACACTGAGGTAGAAGGATTGCAAGTTTTCTCCTTATCTTCAACAGGAGAAACGTCAGCAACTTAGAGAGACCCCGCCTCAAAAATAAATCATAATGACTAGGGATGTAGCTCTGTGGTATAAGCACCCCTGGTTTCAATCTCCAGTACAAAAAAAAAATTATAAATTCTTTGGCATAGACATAGACTGAAGACTGCAACTCTTATTAGAAAGTATTGGTTTCCATATAAGCATAGAGTTCTATAAATAACTTTGTATGGAAGATAACAAAAAATGGACTAATTTGATTCTAATTTAGTCAAGTGGAAAGAGGGAGGGGGTAAACTTATATTCTGAAGACTTTATAACATGTATTTATGCTATGTAATTAATATAGTATTGAACATGAGGCTATTATTGGCCATTTAATTTTTTTATTTATTATGACATATGTACATGCTGATAGTATTAACAAAATCTGTTGCCAAATCAGAGTGAGTTTGCAGTTTTGCTTTTATTCCCCATTTCCCACCAAATGCTGGAATTGTACACAGCTTTCCCACTTAGGGAGTTGCCCCTTCTGCAGTTGAATTCTAGCCTTTCACTATTCTCTTAAATGATTCAAACTCCAGTTTATGTCTACACTTGCCTGCAAGGCCCTCAAATCTAATTATGTTTATCTTGGCCACGATCCATTCCTTCTGTGAACTTGTCTAACACTGAAACCCTGCTCACAATTTGAGAGACATTATGATATTCTTGGGGTGCTATGAAAAGTGAACAAACTTTCTGATTTTCCTTCCTTGAGCACAGAAATGAGATTATATTGTACCCATTCTTTTTTTTCCAGATAACCAAGCTGAAAATAGATAGCAATCCCTTTGCCAAAGGTTTCCGGGACTCCTCCAGGCTCACTGACATTGAGAGGTAATGAGAATTCTCTGTTTACTTTTTTGTCCAGATAAGATAAAGAGAAGAGTGAGTTTGTAAGAACACATGCCTTTCGACGCCAAGGAACCATAACCTTTCTGCATATAGTCTCCAGTTCTTTGCACCCTTTCCTTCCAGTTGTAAACCCCACAGATATTCAATTCTTAAATTTTGACAGCTGCTGCAACTGGATCTATCATGTGCTCAGTTTGAGTAAGGAGATGCTTTGGTTGGGGCACTCATTTCACTGTGAAAAATAGGACTTTGTTGTTATCAAAGTCTTAGTCCTTCTTGATAGTATTAAGTTTCATGTCTTGATGAGTGACAGTCTGCAGAAAAATGAAAACTTGATAGCCTTTTGCCTTCTGAAGTGGATGTATTTGCTAAAACCAAGAGTATAAGGTTAATTTGGAAGTCTGAAACAAGGAAATGTAATTTAATTTAAGGTTACATGATTTTACCTATAGAGTAGATGTCTTATCTTCAACAGGAGAAACGTCAGGTCTCAGGACCTGTATGAAGACAAGCAATAGTCATGTACCTATAACTTAGCTTACTTCTTCTCAATTAAAATGGTTCATGCAGTTTGAGACCATCTAGGTCATGGGTAATGACTATATCGAGATTCATAGTTTGCCCAATATGAATGTCAAAAAATATATTTCCTAAAGAAACTTCTAACCATATCAGTTATTTGTATTTCTTCAATACACTGTCTCTCTATATTTAATTTTTTTATGTGACTGATGTCTGTGTTGACAAGTTGAGTACCTTAGCTCCTAGCCCTTTGGTTTACTTGTGTCTCCATATCTTTGTGTGATTTCTTCACCAGCTCCTATACATTTCTACCACACTCTTTATTACCCACCACATAGCCACATCTGATCTCAGCACTTCTGCCCAACTTCTCTTGGCAACTCATATTAAGGGATAATGATTCCTGGTTCTTCTTGCACCTTCCCAAGTGGCAGAGCCATGGGGAAGTGGTTTGGATAGGGAGAAGAAACACAGAGACTCAGTTTGGAGGCAGAGGATCAAGCAGGACTGGCTGAACATTGGATTCAAACTGTGGGATTTGAATCAAAAAGAAAGATTAATTAGTTGGAGAGTTTCACAAGTGGTTGGGGGTGGTGAGGTCCAAGGGTAGGAAACTTGGGCTTATGGTTGCAAATCCACTGCAAAATGCAGAGAGAAGACAGGGGATAATTCTCCAGGTAGGTGAATAAGTCAGTGAGAATGTTGTAACCAGTGTGGGTAAGAAAGGAGTTTACTTACAAAGCCTTCTTTATTTAGGCATGACTTTTCCAATTCCTCCTTCTGAGGGCCAGAAACTCGGATGCAGATGAGTGTGTGCAGCTGGAATGATTTTAAGTGAATTTTTCTTCAGTTTTATTTGGGTTTCAAGTGTGAATACCAACAATGACTCAGTGGGGCAGTAGCAATGTGTTTCCATTGTGTACGGTCATATCTCCTGTCTCAGATCAGGGGGTAAGCATGATATATTGGGAGAAAACAGTCATGGGGTAGGGGTGCAGCTCTGCCTTTTCCTGGGAGAATGATCCTGAAAAAGTCACTGAATCAGAGTCTCTTTCCTTATCCAGAAAATGGACACAATAACCCTGCTTACTTTGAAGGTTTATTGGAGAATAAAGTAAGAGGACATTTATGGAATAAAATATAAAAATGCAAAATAATTGCAGGTTTCTCATTGTATTAGGTGGGCATTGCCTCTCACAGCTTGTCCACCATCTAAGGCTGCTTTTAATGGTCTCAATGAACTACTCCTAGAGTAAAAATAACCTTGTAGTCACACATGTGCTCATGAGATAGGCATACACAGTCTGACTGTCCTTTAGAGCAGCAGATTTGATAATACACGTGGCCACATTTTCCACTTATTGAATAAGCATCCTGATGTGAGAGCACTCACGTGTATGTGAAGCTAAGTAGTTTTCAATGGTCTGAGGGCCAAGAGAGCACTCTTACGTGACTAGCTGAAAGTTTGCAAGATGACCTAAGTAGTGTGAAATTGGCCAAGGTTTTGGATTTCATTTCCAGGTAGTTAAGTCTGAATTTTTCCTAAACAGCCTTTGGGGATGGGACAAATCAGATCAATTGATCTTTAGAGACCTACAGAAATTAAATTAGTCTGGAGTCAGTTACTGCACTAAACCATCTAGTAATTGAATTGCTTCTTGTAACTGATTGAAAACAGCCCCATCTGTAACAATATTGGGAGCTTTTCTTCATAAGAGATCTGAGAGAAAAACACATCTTTTTATGACATGATGACAGATATTGCACTTTTCTAACCTAATTGAATATGATGTTATGAATATGTGACCTTAATGATTTCAAGTTTCCTGTTCTAGATTTACAACTTACTGTGTAGGACATCCGAACAAAAATGCCTTTAGGATCTGATCTGTTTGTCTATACCTTGAAACTCTGTTATTATTCCTTTTGTAACTGCACTAGCTTGGTTACTTTTAAGGCATTAGGTTTTTCTAGCTTTAATTTTACTACATTGTGTTTGAATAGTGGAATGTCTCACTTCATGTATAATCTTACTTTTCAGGGACAATATCTTCCTCACTTGTAAAAGAAAACCAATCTTGTTATCAAAAATATAAAATATACCCACTATGGACAGCTAAGAAGCGGTCTAAAAAGCCCAAAGGGACATCTTAATGTAATCTAATTTCTAGTTATTTAGATCAGAAAAAGAATTACCTACTGGTTCCATATGATAAATAACTACAGACAGTCTGCCAGTTGGCATTTTCTTTTTTGCTTTAGGCAGGGGGTACATTGTGCACTACACAAAGGCACAGTATTCCACCTGAGAAAGGAAAAATATCTGGGAATTTTTAAGAAAATGATTTCTTCAGAAATGTTTCTTTTATTAATTTTTCCCTTTTACCAAAAGAGCTCATGCTCATTGCAAAAAACAAACAAACAAACAAACAAAAAACCTAGAAAATAATGACAAGGAAGAAAAAGCATAAAAATAATGAGAATCCCATTCAATAAGAAATAACCACTGGCAAACCCTGTTATCTGTTCATTCTTCCAAGTGCTGCTCTCTGCATGTTCAGAACATTATTTCCTTTAAAATTTGTCATGCTGCACAAACTATTTTAACTCTCTATTTACCTAATAATCTATACCTATGCCACACTTTTTAATGGCTGCCTATGTTTTCATTATGTACCATTATTTGTTTGACTAATCCAATGTGTTGGCTACTTAAGTTCCTTATTTTTTTGCCATTACAAGTATGTCAGGAGGAAAATGTTTTTTTTAAAATACATATTCTTAATTATGACTCACATAATTTTTGTGGGTAGGACAAATGCTCACAAGTAAAAATGCTGGGTCATGGCTTATACTTTCTTTTCTTTTTATTGTAGTGCTATTTTTAATGTTAAAAATTGGGGGGTAAGAACCTAAATGTTCAATAGCATAATAATGGTTTTTAATGAACTTTATAATCATGGAAATTTTAAAAATAGTGGTAAAATATACATAAAAAAACAAAATTTACCATTTAACAGTTTTTAACTGTGCCATTCCATGACATTAATTATGTTCATGATGTTAGGCTGCCATCACCTCTATCCATTTCCAGAATGTTTTTACCATTTCATCCAAATAGACACTCTGTACCTATTAAAATAACTCCCCATTCGTTTTACCTCCAACACTTAGTAATTTCCACTCCACTTTCTGTCTCTGTGAATTTGCCTGGGGTAGGTACCTCATATAAGTGGAAAGATACACATGTTTTCAGTCAGTTCATAAGTACTACCAAGCTTCCTTTCAGAAAGACTGTATTAACTGCCCACTACCCTGCACTCTTGTCAAACATGATCATCATCTTTTAATCTTTGCCAGTATGATAGGTGAAAATTTGTGTTTTCTTTTGGAAATTGGCCCATTTATTTCTTGAGCTCAGTTTTTTTTTTTCCTTTTTGATTGCTCACCTTCTTCTCTTATTTATCTGTATAAGGTATTTATGTATCAAGAGTGTACATATTTATTGTTCCTATATGTTGGAATCATTTTACCAGTTTGAAAAGTTATATTTTTGAGAAATAAAAGATTTTATTACAAAATTTATCATTCTCTTTATGATTTTTGCCCTAGGAAGACTTTCTTCACTCCAAAATTACATGAATATTCAACTGTAGATTTTCTATCACTTTATTCTTTTTTAATTTTCCACTTAAATCTTTAATTCATGTGTTATTTATTTTGGTATAAGATATAAAATAGACATATTACCTGATTTATTTTTTAACAAGTAGCCCTAATATCATATATTTACTAATATATTTATTTCCTACTTATTTATAATTCTCCCTTCATGAATTCCAGATTCTTATCTGTATTTTTTAGTTTATTTATTAAAATGGCATTATTACACTGTTATAATTTTCATAAATTGATAGCAGTTGATGATACCTAAATATCTGAGATTTCAAATCTGTTCTTTTTACTTGTCATTTTTTAGATCTTCTTTATCTTCTTATGTTTATGCTTCTAGTATTTAGAATCATTTTGTTAAGTCCTCTAAAAAATCTTGGAACTTTGACTTTAGATATTGAGACTTCCATTTTAGAAGTATGTCAAATATTTGTTCTTCCATTGTAATCTCCTCCTATGTTCTAAGAAGTTTTGGCATTTTCAAGTTTGTAAGTCTTGTATGTGTTTTCCTAGGCACATACTTGTCCAATACAATAGCTATTGGCCATAGGTAGCTGGTGAGTACTTAAAATAATCCATATTGAGATGTGCTTTAGATGTAAAACATAAACAAAAAACTATGGCCCAAGGGAACAATCCTCTTTCCCCCCATTCAAAATAAAAATAAAAATAAAATAAAACAAATCTGGACTAGATTTTTAAGACTCAGTATAAAAATAAGAATGAAAAGTTCTCATGAACAGTTTTAAAATACTGATTAGATACTGAAGGATATCTTGATTTGGTTA